TATATATATATATATATATGTATGATTTTGTGACTGATTTATTTATTTATTTTGTCTCAGGCAACTTTGAATTTTCAGTGGGGGATGAAGCATTTTGGTCCGGTTCAGATTCATGTTTAGTAAATTAAAATTAAGCATCTTTGAGTGATCTTGAAACCAGTTGTAATTAGTAACACAGCTTGTGTTATGTGAATCAATTATTCTTTTTAACATTTCGAAATTTGTGAATTCCGTCAAGAAAATAATAAATATCTGATTTTGAAACATAGAGGTGTTTGGTTTGCAGAATTTGACCACATGACACGTGACAGCGCCAATAGTAAAGCATGGTCGTGGCGAGGTTTGAATTCAATCCATTTCAGTACGTGAACCAAACAAAAAATTGATCATTTCCAATTCCCTTGAAATCATTTGAATTCTACAAACCATACGGCACCTTTACCGTCGCATTACGGTCACAATAGCATGTTGAAACATCGCAAATCAACAAAGCCAATTCTTTTACATCACCCCAAAAGATCTGGTTTACATAATTGAAAACAAAAAGAGGAGAAAGACGATCGTCGATGACATTAAATAACAGATAAAAAGTACAGGGCTGGCAACTAAAAACAGATGCTGCTGCTGCTGCTGCTGCTGTGTAATATTGAAGTTTATGCACTGTCAAATCCAAATATCCGAAAAACACCTGCAGAACAAGAGGGACGTTTTGTTAAAATGGACTTCTTATGAAAGAAATAAAGAGCAAGGAAATATGCATATCATGTATACACCTTCATCAGCCTGATACTTATTTTTGTCATCCCCAGCATATGCAAGCAAATTGTATTTGGGATTCCATTCCACGCTGTTCATGGCTGCCCTACACGGGATTTGATGAACCGACCGTCCAGTGTGTACATTTGACTGACAATTTTACTTGTATCGATTAACATAAGAGCAACGCGAACATTTTAAGGGGAAAAAAGTAAAATTATGTGGATACATACTATGTCAATGAACAAGTCTTCACTAGCAGAAGCAATATATTCACCAGTATGATTGAAGCTTATGGTCCGGACCGGCCATCTGAGAACACATAATCTCTATTATATATCTATCTAATCATTTCAACTACATAAAACCGTGTAAAATATGGTGTTGAGTAGTAACTCACTCGAGCTTTGTGAACGTTCGCACACAAAGCATTTCTGAGATATCCCAAAGACTGACCAAGGAGTCGGCACTTCCAACAGCAAAATATCTGTCAAAATGAAAAGAGGCAGCCTCATAGGTTATCATTCCAAGGCAAGGGATGAGTTCCCAAACACTACATAAGAGAGTTTTTAACAGAAACCGTGAAGCGAATTGAACACACCTCCCTAAGGGGTCAATAGCAATGCAATAGCAACCAGCTGTATGAGCCGTCAAGGTGTCAACTGCTCGAAGAGATGGGTAGGCCAGTACTTCAACAGTACCTGAGGAAAGAGATCAAAAAACAAAGTGGCTAAAATAACAATAAAAAAAGAACTTAACTACAAATAGCACAAGCTGCTATGCTCACCATTTCCAGTAGTCAAGAAGAACATATCCCCAGTCATGTTCCACGCAATTTCATTTACCTGACAAACAAAGCAGGGAGAATATCAAAATATCGTGCATACATGTGTAAGAATGGCACTGTAATAATTGTTTTTCTCAATGTGATTTGAAGCACTCTTGTCATGGAGCAAGTTACAGAATAAGAGTCATTATAGTTCCTTAAGCCACTCAAACTCAGATTTCAGATAACGTCAAAAGTCATATCAGAAGTCCAATGAGGTTGGTAGTTATATGAAAATCCCCATAGCAGTAGATTTATAATTTTTTTTTACTTAAATAGTCAAATTGACATCACCTTCTTGATAAATTTGTTGTATAGTTTCTGTAGATGCATAAACTGCTGTCATATAATATAATATTACATATAATATAATATTACATATAATATACATGGGAATAAGGGGTCTGAGTGATTGTTTAAACATTTTAAGCCCCATAAGCAAAGTGAGAAAGACTATGTATTCAAGTCTTACAAGAAACCATATACTGTAGGAGCTTAAGTTTCTCTTGACGCTTCCTTTCTCCATTGAACCAATTGAGAAATGTTCAAACGACCACACCATTTCCACTAACTATCGCAATAACTGATTATAAATTTCATAATTTAACTTGTGAACCAAACCTTACACATGAAGATTACATGACCAGACACCTTTAGATACAAGACTATGCACAATGTTGCATAGTTACAACCATACACAAGAAGGATTGAAACACTGAAACAGTATGAAGCATACAGAAAAGTAATGATAGTTCGAAACCAAGGGAGCAATCCTGAACTGCTGAAGGAATCTCAAGAGAATTTGTGAAAAATTCACAAAATCACAAACTGAATTGGAATGTGTGGCCTAGTGGCCTTCTTGAAGATTTGCAAACAATATGGAAACTGTACTTAAAAATTTGGCTGTGAACTATTTGATCGCTTCTTTCGTTGCATTTCAGAGGTAGGCAAGGAACAAACATTATACAGTTGATATTGCTGAAAACGATCATGTAATTTTACCTCATAGTTGAATTTGCGTTTATGGATGGGCTTGAAGTTCCATACATCCAGTATTGTCAGTTCATCGTCCTATAATATGTAGCAGAATTAAGAAGTAGGCAAGTAGCCACAACCTCCCTAACTTCCTAATGGTACCAGGAACTGAACATATAGAGTTTGATAATCGAAAAGGCTCAACTAAACGAATGAAAATTGTACCCTGTTCCCCACGGCTACATGACTCCCATCTGGTTTATATGTGATATTAATGTTTTCCCCACTAAGTTCTGCTTGCTGTGAACATTTTCCACCTACAGTATGAGCATGTATGAATAAGAATTACTTAGAAACTCCCTCAGGATATCGTCAATAAATAAAGTGAACCATGTGCAGTAACCACGAAGAACTGTGGGAGAAACGTCTAAATTTAGTTTACTTAAAATCAGAATTTGGTATCTACGATAAAGCATCACTTACTGCGAACATCCCATAGACGAACAGTCTTGTCACCCGATGCAGTGGCAATCAAATCAGCATGTTTAGGATCCCAACACAACTGATCCACGCTATCGGTATGCCCCTTTAGCTCAAGATCTTTAACCTTGCTCTGCAACAAAGAACCCATATAGCATACAGCCTCTAGATGAAGTAAAATAAGCTAAAAATATACTTTGATTAATTTTCACTGGATACCCACCACCAACCTAAATCAAGTAATTATTAAAGAGTTATATGGGTCATTGGTAACATAGAAAATTCAATGCCTATGATCATACTGAGTGACCATTTGAATCAATTGCATCATCCACTCCTAATAAATATTGAGAGAACATTTCAGATTTTAAGGTGGTTCACCTGTCTGTAACATTAACAAACATGCGGTGTGCGTTAATGCATCAAGAAACCAAATGAAGAAGAATACTTACGTGACCATGGGACTCGATATGCCACACTCTAGCCGTTTGATCTACAGAACCAGACGCAAGCTTTGTGCCAGTGCAATTCCACGCTACCGAATGCACCTGTTTGATTTTGCCCAAGTTTAAGAAATCTTAACGGATACAAACTAGGGTTCATAACATCTAAAAGAATTGGGGTTTAGCGAGAAGGAAGGGGGGAGGGAGTGATACTGAACCTTCTTCTTGTGGCCCTGATATTCCCTACTGTGGAGGTTTTTGAAGGGTATTGTTTCTGCCATGAATGATTCCTCCTGCTAGCAATTTCAGAGTCCCTGCGAATCAGCTAAAAAGCTTGTGCTTATTTCAAAACGTATGGGCCCTATTGATATTTTGTTATTTCTGGGGGAGTAAATTGATAATTGTAGCTCGTTTGTTTCTGGTGTGAATGTTGTTTTTCGGAGCCAACATCTGTTGGCTGAATCTGATTAGGGGATGTTTGTTTATCTCTTAATAGTTTCATTAAGAGACAATCTCTGAATTGTTAAAAGGTAAATCTTGTTTGGTAAAAAAAATCTATCTACTAATGGTTTTAAAACCCTCTGAATGATTTTGTATTTTGGATCTCCCTTAACCATTAAGAGCCCTAATTTTATTGTACACAATTACCAAACAATTATATTTAATTTTGCACTATATCATGAGAGCCTCTTATTGATTCTGACCACTTAATCATTCTGCACCAAACCATTCAGCAATTGCTAAACAGCCCCTATGTTGAATTGGGCCCTGACACAAGATTAAACGGGATTTTAGGTTGAGCTTTTTATCAAAGATTGCTAGTTAACAATTTATAAAGGAGTTCTTAAACCATTTATATATTTGTAAAACCTTTTGGATATCAACTTTAAAGACATAGCTGAGAAGATCCTGTTGGCTATGATAGCCATACATGAGTTTTTAGACATGAAGGACATTGTCTGTGATGAGCTGACCCGGGATAAAAGCCGACTGATTTTTACATTAACAAGCGAAGGGAGATAGATCTTTGATACGGTCCGTAATAATCTTGCTTACACATTTATATAAGATATTACATTAAGCTATGAGACGGAAATCAATGACTCTAGAGGGGGCGACCAACTTTGGAATAAAGACAAAAATGGTGCTAATAAGGGGCTTCAATAATTCACTGGAGGAGAAGAACTCGCGAACGGCTAAGCACATATCCTATCCAACAATATCCCGCACGAATTTGAAGAATTTGGCCGTGTAACCATAAGGCCCAGGAGCCTTATCATCACCCATTTGGAAGAGAGCCTGTTTTATCTCGGTATCAAACAGAGAGGTGAGCATCATGGCCGCCTGATCGAAATTCACTTGTCGTTTATTGCATTCGTGACTGATTTGCTCTTAGTTTGTATTTGTTGTGGGGTTTTGCATGATCTGTTTAATTGTGATAGATAGAATAAAAGGTTGTTTGATTGATTTTTCATCAAGTCCTTGTATGAGTTAATCTATTTACACAGATAAGAAAGACTTGTTTTAATTGGGAGGGACATGCTTAAAAAAAACTTAGCTTTCTGCATAAAGTTTCTCCCTAGAAGCTTACTGAATAATCCAATTTATATATCATTAAGCCACTATCAAACAGTCATTGATAGCTGACTGAATAAAATGCAAGTCTCATTAAGCTCGTTAAGTTGCTAACAAACATGTCCGTAATATCCTGTCATTGCAAAAGACTTTCCTAACAACTGCATATTGATCCAAGATGCAGTTTACATACAACAGAACCAGGTCTGGTTAAGAAAAGCATACAACTTCTTCCAACATCACAACAAATCTAAACTTGTCTCTATTTTCTGGAACAACAACAACATAGAAAAAGAAACAACATACATATACTAATCTCAACATCCAGTCTCACAACATGACTACTTACTCTCATCACCTCAAATCGAACCAATTGCAAGAACGACCAAACTTACGCTTCTCAGCTCAAATGGCTCAAACGTTGATTGGCTAGTCGTCTTCGTCATCCCCAATTCCAACCCATCTAGTAAAAGCAAACAGAAATTCCTTGAAGTTCACCATTCCATTGTTATCCCAGTCCATCTCTTCTGTCGATACAAAGCCACCAAATTCAGTAACTTTCACCATATTTTGTGTGTGTGTGAATGTGTGTGTAAAGAGAAAGAGAGGGAAAGAGACCAAATCTTTGCATGGCAATTTGCCCATCAGAATCAGATGGCCCACCAGATGTAGTTTCCTCTATTGCAAGAACCATTTCGCTTTTGCTGACATGACCATCTTTGTTACTGTCAAGTAACACAAATGACTCCACCAATGTTTCAAAAGTTGCCTCCAGATCTGGGATTCCCAATCGCGATTTCTATCAACGTCAAGAAACACAACATGATGAAAGAAAACAAACACAACATGATGCAAAATTTTCAACCATGTTCCTCCAAATCATGCAATACAAAAGAAGGATGCTTTTTGAATTTTGACTCAATAACACTAATTGGCAAGAATGGTTTTCTATCCTGCGATTTCACTTCTACAAACTGAAATGAGAAAGATAGCCCTTCAAATATTATGAACATGAAAGAAGCAGTTGTGAATATAACGAGTTTCTATTGGATACAGACTGGTCAGCAGCAGAATCTTCCTTCAAAAGATAAACAAGGCAAAGAAGCACAATGAACTCATTGAAGCTTATGCCCATGTCATCATTTAAGTCACAAGTCGTGAAAATATCATTGATTTCTTCGTTCGTGAAGTTCGCTTGGAGCTTATCTAAGCAGTGCTTCAGCTCTGTTAGATCAATTGCACCACTGTTATCTTCATCTACATGAAAAAAAGGAACAAGGGAAAGAGCCTTATTGGCATTTCCGAAAACACAAAGTCGATAACCAAGTGATAAAACAGGTAATCATAGAAATCTAACAGGGTATTGATGCATACCAAATTGTTCAAATATAACTTTACATCTTCTTAGACTCTCAACAATTTTTGGGAATTTTAAGATTATCTTGGTAAATGACTTAATGGAAGTTCCTTTAGATTCTCGCTTTAATACTGCATCGAGTATTTGGGCTTCAAGCTTGCTTGTGGGTGCAGAAGGCTTGGGTGAACCATCTCCCATGATCATGAAATCAGGAACCACCGGAGCCTGGTCATTTGAAGTTCATGAATTAGAAATACTGAACGTTGTTAGAGTAAACGAATTACTAACTATATACAGCAGATTTGGTATTCAAACGTTGTATGCATGTAATTGGAATTGAAAACAAGCGGATGTTAGGGTTTTTTAATCTGCAAACGCGAAAACAGCAATAATGTTAATTTGAGTGGCAAAATCTAGACCTAACTACAATGGTGAAAAACATGGATTTTTATACAAGTTTCAAGATCATAGGAATATATTCTAAATATCAACAGAGAGAATTTGACGAACATTTTTAGGGATCAGGAGCAATTTGAAATCGAAAATCATAGGAATACTCACAATGCGAAGGCGCAGAAACAGCAATGAGATTAGGGGTTTGTAAAAACACAGATTGAAAATGCAAAAAGGTAGAAAATGGGATGAATGTGAGCTTGGATTCAATGGAGAAATTGGTTGAATTGATTCGGGGTCGAGGATGCAGGGGTTGTCCCCAGGATTCGTGCTGCTTCCTCCACGTTCTCCTTCCCAGTTCCCTCCCTTGGGTTGGAAAGTAATTCTTAATTTCATTATTTGCCGCTAATAATCCTGCATTATTTTTATTTATTTATTACATTTTTCTCCCAGGGATTAATTATTTTTATTACAAAATAATTTTTTTATGTTAGAAGGTATTCGTACAATACAATAAAAATAACATACATCATCATTTTAATTTTTCTTTTTATTTTGTTCTTTATCGATGTTATAATACGGTTTTATGTGGTTTTGAAAAAAACGATAATATTTTTATTTTTGAATGAAATATAATTTTGAAGATATTTTAAAATTTAGAAAAAATATATCGATATTAGTATCAAATTGACTATTTAAAAGTTCTTGTTTTGTTGTATAATTTCTTTAATTCAATTTTTTTATTGTTATTTAATTTATGTTTAATAATGAAGCAATTTATTTTTGATTTAATAATATAGTTTTTTTATAAATATAATAATTAAGTATTTTAGATATTTTATATTTAAAATTAAATATTTATCCAATATTTGATTATGTTTATTTGCAATTAGTTACATGAATTCAAATATAGAGTTTTAATAAGTTGTATTTATGCATTATTTACTTGTAATCTTGAATTTCAAGTAGTATGCATCAATAAACAGTACTTTGTGTATAAAATATAATTTTTAAGAGTTTTTGTCAAATGGTTTATAATACAGTATAGATATGTAATAGTCACGGATCTAGAAATCTCTAGATTTTTTAAAGGAAAAGAAAAGAAGGGATTTTATTTATTTTTCAGTAGAATGTAATTGATGAGTAGATGTGTAATTTTATTAATATTTTTAATTATTATAAATTCTTTTTCATTTCTTTTACTTCCCTTTCCTCGCACGTGTTGGAGAAGAGTTTAATTGTTATAAATTAACTAGCTTTTATGCACCGTGCAGCTTTAAAAAAAAATCAAACTAATGTTAAAATATTACAATGTCAGTTCATGCATATATCATTTTCTTTTATTAGAGTTATAGAATATAAATATAATGATTAATTTATTGACCTTCATTTTTTTTTTTTGTTCATATTGTCATCCTCACAATTGCTGATATTGTTACGATCAATCCTTCTAATACATAACTAAAACTTTAAACCATCATTAAACAAAACTCTCCAAAATATTAAACAGGACAATCTTTTTTTTTAATTTACCGAATATATAAAAAAATTAAATTTTTCTCTTTTTCATACAAAGTCTTTAATCCCGTCGCATAGCAAAATCAGTTTATACCCAATAAAAAACATTATTTTTTCATTACGTATTTTAAATATGATATTATATAAATAAATAAATAAAACTTTAAATAAATTTAAATAATTTTAAGAATAATAAAACAAAGAACATATATCATATAATTTAAATAATTTAATAAAAGCAAACAAATACACATATAAAAACCAAATAAAATGTGATATTCATGTGATATTTGTATCTGTATTTATTTGCTTTTAAAAATGTTAAAGGAGATATAATACGAAGATGAGATAAAAAACGGAATAAAAAAGGAAAGGTTTAGAACATTTATGAGTTAATGAAAGATAATTAATATAACCAACAAAATAAATCTAAAAATTTGAAAAAAAAAATGAATTACAAAATAACTTTTCCATAAAGTGTCACATAAAAAACTTCATATTTTACTTTTAGATTTGTATAAAATAATGATGTCAAATGCTCAATTAAGGACATCTATGGCTTGGAAAATTTTGTTTTCATTTTGGAGAAAATAATGAAATACACATTTTTCATTCACGGATAAAAAAGTATTTAACTTATTTAACATTTCAAAAATTAAAAACAATGAGAAAATCTCTTTTAAAAATCATTTTGTGACAAAATGTCACACCATTTATTGTAAGTTTATTTTAATTAGTAGATGAAAAGATGAAAATAACATAATGGATATCCCTATGAAGTTATGTAATGTGAAGGTTAAAGCTAAGTTGGAAGTGGTCAAAAAAGTCTTCTTATAATGGAATACATATTTATCATTTAGGGGTAGAATAATATAACTTATTTAATATTATAAAAACATTGACAAATCATGGAGGAGCACATGAAAATGTTTACAGGTTTCATCTCCAAAAATGAAGAGGAAAAGATTGGAGGCTAAGCTTTTTAAAATTACCAAAACAACCTTATTGATGATTATTGTGAACGGAGTTTATTTTTTTTTTTTATAATATCTTGTAATCATAAAATATCAAAACTTTATTCGAATTTATATGATCAAATCGTAAACACAATCATGTCTTACGATAACAACAAATCCAACAATATTGAAAGGAAAAAAAATGTAATAACAAATCACATTTTGTAAATAATATAATTTTTACATACCTTTTAAAAAAAATTAAGTTTTCTTCAACTCTTATTTCATTACTCACCAAATGATTTTTGTCAATTGAAAAAATCATGAAGTAGTCAAAATTTAAATTATCAATCACGTATAAATAGTTATTGTTAATGAAGCTTAAATTCGAAAAAAGTTTATCATATATTGTGATTACAAAATATCAAAATTTAATTCGAATTTATATGATCAAATCATAAACACAATTTATATGATTCAATCATAAATACAATCATATCCTATAATAACAACAAATCCACCAATATTGAAAAAGAAATATGTAATAACAAATCACATTTTTAATGAATATAATTTCTGCGTGTCTTTTAAAATCTTTGAATTCTTCTTCAAATCTCACCTTCTTCATCCCTCAACAAATGATTTTCTAGGATTTCATTTTGTTTATTTAAAAAACAAATTTCATTTAAGAAATAAAAGAAAGTAAATGGAAGAGCAAATCAAGAGTTGGAGGTTAAACTTGGATATACAAAATTACAAAAATAACCCAGTGAATTATGAGCTATACATTTTTCATCCAGGGACAAAAAAGTCTTTAACATATTCAACATTTAAAAAAAAATAAAAAAAATGAGGAAAAAGATATGAGGAGTTCTAAGCATTAGAAGGTGTCACCTCATTATGTTTGGTTTCTCTTTTAATATATATATAGATTTTTCTTTTCCGTCCGCCCCCTTTAAAACAACCCGAGAACACATTTTTTTTCTTCTTCGTAAAAATAACTCGAGGACACGACGTGTAAGATTGTAAATGGGAAATGATAGATGTGGAAGAAGGTGGTGTGATGGTTGGTTGTGCATGTGATGAATTGAAGAGACGGTAAGGGGGCGAGTGTTCCTCTGGGGTGCTAACGGGGTTGACGGAGGTTGTTGCTACGAGGATGTAGATTATGAAGGGTAGAAAGAAGAGTTACAGTGGTCACAATTGCATTTGTGTATGGTTGTGAAATGTCAGTGAAAAAAAGATCAGTATAACTAATATTATTATGGGATTGAAAACTCTCAAATACGGTGACAACATGTGTTGAGATTATAGTTAAATGAGAGGGGGCATTTTAAACATTTGAATCGTAAAATGAAAATCGCCCCTCACCTCCCCACGCCATTGCCTCTTATTTTCCACAGGACACTATCGCTCATCCCCACAAACGATTAATTTAAAACCCAAAATTTTAAATATATAAATAATATTATATGAGCATTTAAATAATTGTTTTATTTGAATTCATTTGAAATGTTAAAATATTTATGTAATTAATTAAAGAAAATAATAGAAATCTTAAATAAAAAATAATGAAAACAAAGGCAAAAGGTAAAAAGAAATTTTTTTTTTTTTAAATTTTATTGGACCAAAATTATCAGGTCAGGAGTGGTTTGGTTGTAAATGTCATAAAGTTCAGGGAGCCAAATGTTATATTTTTTAAAGATTAGGGGTTTGTTTTACCAATAGTATATGCCTGTTTGTAGAAAAGGACCTTAGAGTCTAAAACTTGCGATTTGACCGATTTATTCAACTAATAAGCCAAAACTTTTCACATATAAATTGTATAGCACTGGCTTAGGATCGGTTTTCATTCAAATAACTAGTAAAATCGTTGAGTTTTGGAAGATAAATATGAGTTTGAAGTTCGAAATAAAAAATCTCGGTTTTTCATCGATTTTGGGTAAGATTCTTAACCAAATCTCTTGATTTTTATGTTTATGGGTTCGTTTTTAAGTACTTTATCAAATTCCAGTAGCCTTATATCTCATATTTCTATTTACATTGTTCGATTTTTATGTTTTGAAGTTGTTGAATTTTAATTTTAAAAACAAAACTTTAAATGAGAAAATTGAACTCATTTCTTGATGAATTTTGTGTTATTTATGTCAGAGTGTTTGTAAAAGTATCATCAAAAGTTTGATGCAAAAAAATGAAGAAAAAAAAGTCAAGAAATGAGCCATGTTCAAACTCAAAGAACCAAAAAACGAGCAACCATGGCTGCAGGTAGGCCTGGGTCAGGGACCGGGTCGGTTGGGTCAAGATCCGACCCAAAACCCATGGGTTGGCCAATTTTAAACAAAAAATCACTTTTTTTCACTCGAGACTAAAATCAAACATGCGACTTCAATGTTGAAGCACCCGTGCCTTAACCAACCAAGATAACTCATTATTTGCATTTTATGAACACGACATAATCTTCTTATTCCATTATAATGCATTTACAAATTTTAATAAATATCGTTATAATTCCTGGAGTTTCAAAAATATAATTTTTGCCATATGATTTTCTGGAACTTTCATCAAATTTTAATTGGATTTTGTCAAATGCAAATCCTTATCCTAATTTCGATTATTTATCTTTGTTTAATTACCAAAATGACCCTATACATAGGAAATCGATTTTTAGCAATAATTCACGTATTTGCTTTCTAAAATTATCGAAATAAAACTTTGTCTTGGAGATTGGTATATAAGCTTCATTCTTATATTACTATGTTTATAAAACTAACAAAATGACCCTATATTTGGAAATCGGTATTTTAACAATACTTTAAGTATTTGTTTTATAAAATTATCGAAATGACCCAATGCCTTGGGAATTGATATCTAAGTGTTATTTTGAATATAATCTTTATGAAATTACCAAAATGCTCATATACTTTGAGATTGATTTTTTTAAGCACAGTTTTAATATTCAACTTCTGAAAGATACCAAGAATGTCCTAAATTAGGGAATTGGTTAAAGTTATACCTTTGGTATTCGGCTTCTCAAGATTTCTGAAATGCCCCTCGACTTGAAAAATTAGTATTCTATACATTATTTCGAGTATTTAATCATGTTGAACTTCAAAGTTATGACATGACTGACTCTTATTTATATATGTGTGACATGTTGTCACAATTATTTATTCGCAAATTTTAAAATATACTTTTTTACCAACTAATATTATATACGTTGGAAACTATTTAGTTTAGCTATTTTGGCAAAATATTTATCGTTCAAGAAAATGTGATGTGTATTGCACATTTTTATAAAATGTACGAGCGACAATTAATATTATAACAACGTTATTATTAATAATATTTTAAGAAAACATTTGAGTGAAATACGAGATATGATGGTATCGATGGTTGATTAATAAAGATGGTTAAGATTAATCGTGCTAAGATTGTTGGAGAATAATGTTACATGTCATGATAAGATGTATGTTGGTATTGCTGTTAACTCAAATTTTTTTTTTAATACAAAATTTTATTACAATTCAGATATTTTAGATTTAAAAATAAATATGTAATTAATTCAAATTTTAATGATCGAGTACTTTTGTGTGAGAAAGATATTCAAGAAATTTGTTGGTGTGGATAATAAAGATAATGATATCTTCTATCTTGGAATTCGATGATAATTATTTATATCTATACTATATTATAAAGTATTTGACAAAAACTTTTAAAAACCATTTTTTATACATGAAATACTGTTTATTGATGCATATTACTTAAAATTCAAGATTACAAGTAATTTTGCTTAAATACAACTTATTAAAACTTCATTTTTAAATTTGTGTAACTAACTACAAATAAACATGATCAAATACAGAATAAACATTCATTTTAAATATAGAAAATCTAAAATATAATTAAGATAATCATAACAAAATATTTTAATTATTATCTTTATTAAGAATTATGTTATTAAATAAAAAATAAATTAGTTTGTTATTAAATCTAAATTAAATCATAATAAAAAATTGAATTAAAGAAATTACAAAAAAAAAAAAAAAAAAAAACGAGAACTACTAAATAATTAATTTGATTTTAATATCGATTTATTTTTTTTCAAAATTTTATAGTATCTTCACATTTATATTTAATTCAAAAATAAAAACATTATCGTTTTGTCAAAACCACGTAAAATCATATTATATCGATAGAGACAAATAATAAAACTAAACATTAAAATCGAGATTCGAGTACCCTTCTAGTTATATTATAAAACATTTGATAAAAACTCTTAAAAACTATTTTTTTATACATGAAGTACTGATGCATATTATTAAAAATTCAATATTATAACTTATTATAACTTCATGCTTGAATTCATGTAATTAACTGCAAATAAACATAATCAAAATACATGATAAACATTTCATTTTAAATATAAAAAATCTAAAACATAATTAGGACAATCACTGTGTTCTAACAAAATATTTAATTATTATATTTATAAAAAAGTACATTATCAAATAAAAAATAAATTATTTCGTTACTAAACCTAAAATAAATCATAATAAAAAAAAATTAAATTAAAAAAATCACACAACAAAACAAGAACTTTTAAATAGCTACTTTGAAACCAATATTGATATATCCTTTTCAAAATTTCATAATATTTTCAAATTTATATTTTATTAAAAAATAAAAAAACATTATCGTTTTTCTCAAAACCAGATAAAACCATATTATAACATCGATAAGGGGCTGAATAAACAAAACATTAAAATCGAGATATATTACGTTGCATTACATGAATGCCCTTCTAGTATATTTGAACGTATCTATCAATAGATTATTAATTAGTTATTTACAAACTTGAAATTTAAGGGATAATGCATTATTAAGCCGTAAATAGTAATTGATAAATTGTTTTTAAAAAAATTACATGAAATAGAAATGTATAATGCAACAAAATATTAAATTTTAATTATATATTAAAAAATAAATTGCCTTAAATTTACATTTTATGGTTTTTTTAATGTTTTAAAAATGAATGAAATTTACGAAAATATGTCATTAAAAAAATCAGGAGTGTTATAAATAAAATATGATATTTTATACAGATTTATTTATTACAAAATATTTTGGAGTCACGACTCACGCGCATGGCATGAAATCCCATATCACTCCGGCACGCGGCCTCGAAAGCGAGCTCGCCATCACATTTATAATCGCCAACCTCGTACGACAACTTAAACCCAAACCCTAGACCAGTCCTTAATCAAATTTTGGTATTCAGTCCTTTTGAAATTATACGTTTCTTGATTCTTTTGGTTGATTTCTTGCATTCCATCAACTAGGGTTGTAAAAACTTAGCTCTGCTTGCAGGTTTTCTGTCAATTTTGTGATTTGCATGTTTTGTTTCCGTACAGATAGGATCTTTATGGGTTTAACGTGCGTTTCTTGTAAATATTTTAATTAATTACTGCTTCTTGTGTAGTGTGTAGTTCAGAAACTAATTTACTCCCAGTTAAAATGCTTTTATTTTTGGTCTGGGTCAGGGTCAGGGTCAGGCATGTGCTGATGTGCATCAGCCTTTCTCCCTCTCCCTCTCCCTCTTTTTTACTGTCTTCATGACAGTTGTATTTCTAGGGAAATTCATGTTCAGGGTATTGTGTTTCCAAGCATTAGCATCACTCTTTGAGGCAAAAGAACATTTCTTTATGAGATGCATAAAAAAACTGCAAGAACTCCATTGTCATGTGGCTTTGCATTTGTAAACCAAGGAGTATTCAGAGTTCAGATGTAAGTTGCTTGCAATGTAGGTGTATAGTCATCTGAAAATTGGGTTGTAGGTTTATTTCCTCCATTATACCAATGTGTTCTGCTGCAATTTTTGGTTTTGAATGGTTAATGATTGTACTAATAGTGAAAAAAGAGACAACCACCAACAGGGGGATGCAAGGGCAAAATCTGAAACACTCATCGAATAGGAGATATGTAGAAGAACTTATAACTGAATCAGCCAACTAAAAAGCAGAACAACATGGAAACAAGAGACTTTAGACTCCTCAAACAATCACAAATGACTGTATGATCACTTAGAAAAGCTTTATCTCTTGGAAGAAAACAGGGTAATAAAATGACCCTTTTTATGTTCCTTGTTCTATTCCTATTCATGTGATTTTGATGAATGAGAAGATTCATTCCCCTTACAAGAAGTAAAGTTTTTTTTGGGGTATTTCATTTTATTTTTGCTTCTGTAACCTTCACAGGTGGATGGTTTTGATGCATCCTTTGACTGGACATTTGATTTTTTTTCTTCGTATAAAGTGAATGTGAATCGAAAGTTATCAGTCTGCAAAGGAGCTAGACATCAAAATTACGCAGGGTTGACGAAAATCAAATATGTTTTATTTGAGTTGGGAGTTGGCCGTTTGGATCTTCTTTGGTACCCAACGCCTGCTTGGAGACCCTTTGAAGTGTTTATGTAATTTGTAAATGAAAGACAGCTGAGCTAATTATAAAAAAGGCTAATATTCCCGGTAGAAGCAAGAGATGGTTATGTGTTTGATTGAAAGAGTTCCATGAGCAGCGTTCGACAAAGCAATTTAGTTTCTTATTTTTGCACCATCTATAATACTTAAAACATGAATAGTGCGAATGCGATATGCAATTACTTAAGCTATCTTTTTTAATTTTGAGTGATGGGCTATCATTACAAGTTGATTGTTTTTAAGATATTTCTACAGTACTTGCCAATTTGCAGTATGTGTTTTTGCAGGCATATCTCAGTTTCTTGTGATGGCATTAAAGAGGATTCAGAAGGAGCTGAAGGACTTGCAAAAGGACCCTCCTGCATCTTGCAGTGCTGGTTGGTTTTTCCCCTCCCTTTTCTGCTTTCTACATTGTTTTTGGCATATGGTTTTCTCTGTCTCTTTCTGTTTGTGTCTGTGTGCTGCATCAAATGCCATATTCTGTATGTTCCGTTCCAGTTTTTGTTTTCTTTATCCACTCTTCATATTAGATGAATAGAATCATATAATGTGCCCTTTGCCTGGTACTAATGAACCATATTTTCTAATACATGGCACATTTTGTTATCATTGTTGCTTTTAGCATAGTTTGTTGGTTATGGATTAATGGTTTATTCATATGAATCACGATCTACAAGAAAAGTTCATAAATGATAACGAAATGGGTGCCTCTGTGTGTGTACACAACACAGGGAAAAAAGAAAGGGGATTTAGAGGGCAATGACATCTCATGTAATGAACACAAAAGGTTTCATGTCCACCATGGAAACACAACTACACAGCAATGACATCATCTGGTTATTGTGAAACATACTAATATGTCTTTTATCATCAACAAGGTAACCTTAGTAACTAGTAATTTGTATTTCCCATATATACTACAAAATGAAGCAAGATATGGAGAAAATGAAAACCCATAATTGGTCCTGATTTTGGAGGCATGCTAGACCATGGATAAGCACAGCTATCTGGTTGCAAATTGGACCACAGGTTAACTATTGCTATTCCCATCTCCAACTAGTTGTATCTACTGTAATGCCGTTGCGCTAGTATTGTTTTCTATATGTTAATTAAGCTAGTAAGCTACCTTATAAATTTTTTAGCAGTCATAACTTAAAGGGGGCGCTAGTGCTAAAGATTTATTAATTTTAGGTGTCTAAATATATAATTTTTTTGGTGGATCTATCTTGGAGTTGAATAAATTTTGTTGTTCTTCAGGCCCTGTTGGTGCCGACATGTTCCATTGGCAAGCAACAATTATGGGTCCGTCGGATAGCCCATTTGCAGGGGGGGTGTTTCTTGTTTCCATTCATTTCCCACCAGATTACCCTTTCAAGCCACCACAGGTAATTAACACGCGTTATCCTTTGCATCAGCATTGCTCTAAAACGAATCTTGTGAATGTAATTTTGGAATTTACATATGTGGTTGGAAGGTATCTTTTCGTACCAAGGTATATCATCCAAATATAAACGACAATGGTAGCATCTGTCTTGACATCCTGAAAGATCAATGGAGCCCAGCCCTTACCATCTCCAAGGTAAGTCTTGTTGATCATGCGAAGAAGGTCCATATACGCAGTTAATTAATGATATCTTAATCAAATCTGCAGGTTCTGCTTTCAATTTGTTCGTTGTTGACAGACCCAAACCCTGATGATCCTCTAGTGCCTGAAATTGCTCATATGTGCAAGAACCACAGGGCCCAGTATGAGACAACTGCCCGAACTTGGACCCAGAAATATGCCATGGGTTAGAAACCAATTAGAAGTTGTTGAATATGAATGTGAATGCTTATATGCTTCCTACCTATATATATATTCTTGAAATAATTTAGGAACTTGTTTAAAAAATGGTATCTTTGAGCCTTTTGGTTTATGCTTTGTTTTGTAAATCATATATATATATATATATATATATGTATATATATGTGTGGTTGATTGAGGCAGCACAGCAGACAGAAAGAGGTAAAATCTTGGGGATTATGGTGTCCTTGGGTCTTAATGAGTGGTTGCTGTCCAGTCCACCACAAGACAGGTGAAGAAACATGTTAACCTCAGTAAATTATTGTCGTCTCCATACCCACATTCTGAAATAACCAAATTTTTTTACTTTTTAGTGTTTTTTTTAATGGTAATATAAGAATGGTGGTTAAATAACAAGAGCTGATGGATTTGGTTTGGATTTAATGGAGAATAGAATGTGAAATGGTATGATGGTGAAATGATAGCAAGTACAGTGCAGAGGCAGTAATAAACGCTAGCAGTAAAAAGGGGATGGTCATCCACCACCTATCACCCTCGTACCTTAACCTCCCCCTGTTGAAAAGGATACACTTTTACCATATTACCCTTTTGAAAGAGACAAGAAACAGTAGCAGCATGGTGTATGGAGGGTATCCATCAAGAAAACGACCTCTCTATCTTACCCACTGTTTGGTCAATTCTCTTGCTTTCTTACCAACCCTTTGCTCTTTCCTATTTATTTTTTATTATAATTTAATTTATAATATTTCAAAAAAGAATTAACCCCATTATACAAAAATGAAGTGTGAATGATGTGGCAAAATCAGGACCATCCACGTCAGCTAACAAGGCTAGCTAGGTGGAACATACCTACTACTGTAAACTGTGGAGTGTCTACTGCCATATTTAGGGTTTCAAAGTTTTTTCAGCATGTCTACTTCACTCCTCTACTTTTTATTTTAATTTAATTAATTATTTCACCATCATTTTTAGTAATTGGAATTTAGATTTTAGTTTTAAAATAGAAAAAGACAATTCACCAACATGATATGTTTACCATTTAAATATTTTATAAAAAATATAAACTGCAATAAATCATTTAAATACCTTTTATATATTTTAAAATAGAATAAAAAAATGACTAAAAATAAAAATAGAAAATTAAATTTTTCTGAAAAAAGTAACAAACATGTCATTTATATATTTTATATAAATAAATAAATAATTATAGAAATTATATTTTAAGATGTATTTTTCAATGAAATAAATAAATAAATTATGAGAAAACTAGAAGGGTACTTACGAAATGTAACAAAATACATCTTGATTTTAATATTCCATTTTATTCATTATCTTAGTCAATGTTATAATATGAAATGACGATGTTTTTATCTTTCAATAAAATATAAATTTGAAGATATCATAAAAATTTGACAAAAATATATCGATATTAGTATCAAATTAATTATTTAAAATTTATCATTTTTTGTGTAATTTTTTAATTCAATTTTTTTTATTATAATTTAATTTAGGTTCAATAACGAAGTAATTTATATTTGGTTTAATAATATAATTTTCTTATAAAAATAATAATTAATTATTTTATTATAATATAATTTTCTTAAACATCTTATCCTTTCTGAACCCTGCTTTCAGCTTTCTAAGGGGGTGTTTGGGATTGCTTATNAATTATATTTTAAATTTTTTATATTTTAAAATGAGATGTTTTTCATTTATTTGATTATGTCTATCCGCAGTTAGTTACACGAATTCAAACATGGAGTTTTAATAAGTTGTATTTATGCATAATTTACTTGTAATATTGAATTTTAAATAATATACAATTAATATATAGTACTTTATGCATAAAAAATAATTTTTAAGAATTGTTGTCAAATATTTTATAATATAGTATAGATATATGGTTTAAAATAGGAATCCAAGGGAGGGAAGATTATTAAAATAAATAAAAGTCATTTTCACCAACAAACAAATACATTATACATAGGATAGGATATTCGGGACTAGAACCACGTTTAATTTCATATTACACCCTTGTATTATCATTAAATTACCCTAAATCTCCTTATAGCTTTTGCATAACAATGAAGCAGATGCTTCTGAAATCAAAGATTAGATGGGGAGGGGGTATTTTGTATATTTGTTTAATATAGAAGGGCTATAATTGAATAAAGACAAAAAAATATGTAATCCGGACAGTAAATACAAATACGCAAAGGAAAAGTCGAGCTACATACCTTGAGAAGAACAAAAAAGGAATAGTTAGAGAGAGAGAGAGAGAGAGAAAACTATAGATACAATATATACATACACACAGACTCTCAATCGAGCTACGAACCAGATCTTCACGGCTTTCATTCTTCTCGATCCCTCTGTTTCACTCCAGAAATTTCAAGTTTCACAAGAATATTGTCACCTGGGAGAACCAATTCGAACAGCTTTGCAGATTGTGATCCCTACGCTTGCTTTGTCTTCTCGAGGTTTTGGTATGATTTGTTGTAGTTCCCTCTCTTGAATTTAATGTTTTTTAATGTCAATAATTTTGTTTCACCTGTTTCTTGCTCGGACTGATTTGAGATCTGATTGCGTCTCTACTCGCATTGTTCAAATTTATGTGTTTTTTCTTTACTTTTTCTTGGATGTGTCAAGATTAAGCATCTCTTTTTTGTTGAATTTGTTTATATCTACGCAAAGTTTGCAAATTCACTAGACTTGATAAAATGAGTTTTCATTTACGTTCGTGGCGGATAAATCTTAAAAAATATCAGATATGAGATTCTTGTTACTGTTTGTTAGGTTTTTTTATAATAAACTGATTGAACATATAAAAGATTCTAGATCTGCATTAGTTTCTAGATGATGTTGTTATCTCTGGTTGACATCAAGTGAGAGAAGGAAACTGAGGGTCCGTTGAGTATTTTGTCTTCTTATGCGGAACTTCTAAAATCTCTTTGTTGAATTCCATGGGGAATTTATTTATGCAACAAAAAAAGGAATGTGGTCGATTACTGACATGCTCTTCTCGATTTAATGCTTATGTACTTGCATGACATTTTACATTATGCAGTATAGAGTGGGTTGCTTTCGCCGAGCCGGTGGCTTGATAAAAAAAAAACTACCGGTTCTTACGGATTAACAAGGGACCATGATTTTAAATTGCTTTGCAAACGGAACTATTTGTCTCCACTGAAGCCTAGTGTTGAATCTCGACCCATCTGCACCTGGTAAAAATGTCAGGTAAGTTGCACACTGTATTGTAGAGTAATGTTATTTATTCACATTTAGCATAATCACAATAATGAGGAACGTAGAAGTAATAGTGTTTGGCCTGTACTTTTCATGTATCAGGCCCAGGAGGACTTGAGGCTTTTGATGAAACAAGAGAAAGGAGGTCAGATTTTGAGAATTCTGAAGATGAGAGACGGCGATCCAAAATTGGATCCCTAAAGAAGAAGGCAATAAATGCTTCAAACAAGTTCACCCACTCCCTTAAGAAAAGGGGAAAGAGGAAAATTGATTACAGGGTTCCTTCAGTTTCAATAGAAGATGTACGCGATGCAAACGAAGAGAGAGCTGTCCATGAATTGCGGCAAAAGCTCCTAGACAGGGACTTACTGCCATCTAGACATGACGACTATCATACCTTGTTGAGGTGAGTAAATTATTTTGTTGTTTCAAATCATTTCAAGTCTTTGCTGTTGTATCAGTGATTTATCTAGAAAATGGTGGTTGAAGTTTATTTTGTTGCAAACATGACTTCAGTTTGAGCATACTTGTATCTTACTTAAGTGCAAATGATTGCACCTGGTAAGAGTTCATAAATATCAAATTTCAGCAATGCCAAGGGGTCATGAATATGCTCACTGAAAGTATATTAAACTCTCTGGAGTTTAGATATTGCAAGCCAAGAAACATGATGAGTAAATCTGAAATTTCTCAAAAACAGACAAGAAAATTTGGGTATATAAAATTATATATACACGTACATATCATACAAACAGCAATTTGGGGAACATATCTTCTACAATTAAGACTCTGTTTACTTAGTGTTGGAAACTTGTCAATTTTAAGCATTAAGTTCATATCAGATATCACCACTTACATAGCATGTGGACAGGAATGATGCATATTGTGGTTAACCATGGGATTTTATTTTGGATATGAACCATGTTTCTTAATTCCAACTGTAAAAACTGTCTAATTATCCTTAAAAGTTCATCACGTCATCAACTTGTATGTTGCGAATTCATCACAACTTGTACATTGAGAAAAGTAAAGATATTTGACCAATTTACAAATTGTAGTAATTAATATCACGTTTTTCATGTAAGAATTCATGGAGGACTTGAGGGATGTGAAAATCTTATAATGATATTATTTTGTCTCTATTATGTTGTTAACTGGAAGTTTAGTTCGATGGTATGAGCTCAACGTCTTTATTTTCTTTCACCTAGGTTCTTGAAGGCTCGAGACTTTAACATTGAAAGAACAATCCGTATGTGGGAAGAAATGCTAAATTGGCGAAAGGAGTATGGAACGGACACAATTTTGGAGGTAATTACAATGATACTCTGAACTTATTTACATGTACATTTGCACTTACGGTGGCAGGAAGTGGTATTCTCAATGTGAGTTCTACTATGTGTATTCATAGACTAACATATCTGTACATCTTAAGTTTTTTAAAGTTCTGTTGAAGCTAACTTACTTCTCAAGACATCTGTTGAAATTTTGCTCATATATATTAATCATGACACTCAGGATTACGATTTTGAAGAGCTGGACGAAGTCTTACAGCATTACCCCCAAGGGTACCATGGAGTTGATAGGGAAGGCAGGCCTGTTTATATTGAAAGGCTTGGCAAAGCATACCCTAGTAGGCTTATGCGCATCACTTCGATTGAGCGCTACCTAAAATACCATGTCCAAGAGTTTGAGCGGGCTTTTAATGAGAAGTTCCCTGCTTGTTCGATTGCTGCAAAGAGACAGATTTGTTCTACTACCACAATTTTGGATGCACAAGGCTTGGTATGTGAACCACTTGATTTGATAATATGATATGTGACCACGATTGATTCCCCCGGTAACCATACTAGCTGTGGCAAGTATATATGAGAGTATACTTATGAGCAAGTTGGATGGGGAGGGGAGGTTTGCTGAGAACTATTAATATATAATCTAATTTATTGTGCACTGCAATATGATCTACAGGGCTTGAAGAATTTCACTCCAACTGCGGCAAGTCTTCTTGGGGCCATGGCAAAGGTTGACAGTAATTACTACCCAGAGGTAAATAACTCCTACAGCCTTTATTTTCCAAATTACCGTTGTTTTTGGTTATAATGGACTTCCATGTTTACTGACAGACACTACATCGCATGTTCGTCGTCAATGCTGGCCCTACCTTCAAGAAATGTTTATGGCCTGCTGCTCAAAAATTTCTGGATGCAAAGACGATTGCAAAAATACAGGTAACTGAATGTCTGGCTAATTGCACTTTTTTGTTTCTAACTCCAATTGCATGAACTGTCTGCGACAATATTCCTTATGTTCCGAAATTACAGGTGTTGGAACCTAAGTCATTGGGTAAACTACATGAAGTCATTAACCCAAGGTTTGTTTGTCAACTAATTTCTGTCTGTTGAATTTCAACTATAAGATCATCTGATTCTTGTCTTCCACTACTCCTTTCAGTCAATTGCCTGACTTCCTAGGTGGTACTTGCACATGTCCTGGTGAGGGTGGCTGCCTTAGATCGAATATGGGTCCATGGAATGACCATGAAATAATGAAGGTATGCTTTCTTTTTAGGACTTGTGTTGTATTTCTTAGAGTTGATGTATGTTTCTTCTCATATACATATGAAAGTCCCTGAAGCTATACTTGTATTCCAATAACACGCCCCCCTTTTCAGAAAACCATAAAAGTTCACGTCAATGGATGGAGAGGATGTAAGTTGCATGATTGTGTTTCTTGTGTCCCCAATTTCTCTGTCATAACATTCCTTGTTCTTTCTGCAGGTTGTAAATAATGCAGAAGCCACATTTGTAAGGCAAATCACTAGTATGTCTAGTGATCAGCAGAAAGTTGACTCTTATATCCAGATATACCCTGTGAAGGTAAATTATTCCAGTCAGATATCTATAAACGTTGTTTTCATATATGGTTTCCTTACAATATCATTTGTATTTTCAGGGGAGGAGAAGTGATACGTCCAACATAGAATCTGGATCAGATGTTGACGACCCATGTTCTGCAACCAACTTAAATGGTCCTAGGTTCCTGAAATTGGCATCAGTTTGTGAAGAAGTAAGTAGTGGACTCCCCATCACATTTTTAACACAAATGCATGCCTGTATGTTTATATGTATATTGGCATTGCTTTCAAGTAAGATGCCAATTTTCAAGTGCTAGAAAGGAAAAATATTGAAGTGGTGTAATTCAGCCAGCTAACCTCAACAAGTTCATGGTTAACAAGAAGGCTGTTTAATTATGCAGGCTACGGCATCTGATTCACCCGCTTATTACAGTTGTAATGATCATTTTAATTCATTTGAAGAAGCTAGTGCCTCAAGCCAGTCTCATACACCAGATGACAGAGAAATGGGTTCTGGTGTAGACTTCCAAAATTCACAAGGTACGTGCGCAAGGATACTCTCTGTTATATAAAAGTAGCCTAGTTGTTATACTTGAAAAAGGCAGGCGTGGATTGGTGCTTATGATTGGTCTGGTTATAGGTGCATTGTTTATCCAATTGTTGGACACTATTTTGGAAAAGGTTGTGAAGAGGAGCTTGAATTGTATAGCAAGACCAGTGGTGTCATCGGTGCCAAAAGTGATTGGAGTTATTCGCAGTGTGGTGATTGAGTATTGGAGAAGACAGAAGATGATATATCCAAGTAATGTGGTGGAAGAGAGGTGCAAGAGTGACTCTAGTAGTGAAAGAGAAGATCGGATTGGTCCATGTGTTGAACGGCTTGAGAAACTTGAAGAAATATTGGAAGAACTTAAAAAGAGGCCTGCTGAAATTCCTGTGGACAAGGAGCATATGTTGCATGAATCCTTGGACCGGATCAAATCAGTGGAGTTTGACCTCAATAAAACAAAGAGGGTAGGTGACTTTCATATTATATATATATGTGTGTGTGTATATATATATATATATATATATAGAGAGAGAGAGAGAGAGAGTTGGATTTTGAGTTTATTATATTTGACAGGTACTACATGCGACTGTGGTGAAGCAACTTGAGATTGCAGCCTTGATGGAGAATCTGCAGGAATCCAAATTCCATGTAAACTAGTTTTTTTTTAATCCCTTGTTAATTTCCTTTGATTATTATTATGATATGGAGAAGAAGGTAAATGAATGATGATGTGGGTTTTGGTTGCAGAGGCGAAGGATGTTGTGTTGATGAGATGTACAGAAATAGGAGGAAGAGATGAATAGCAAGCAGTAAGAAGTATATATGGAGAAGAAAGTAAACTGCATCCAATCCATACACAACAATATTACAACACCATTTATGATGAGAGAGATTGAGATGATGTAATGGTAATGGTAATATGGTAATCAAACTGCTTAATTACATTACATTACATTACATTACATTACATATTATCCTCCTTCCTCCTGCCTTTTGCTTTTTTGAACCTTCATTATTTTGTTCACCAGTTCCTCAGAAACGTCTATCTAACGATGTTTTATTTCTTTAAAATCTCAACACAAACTAGAAAACATAAGTCAGGGAAGAGGGCTAAAACTAGCATATCATGTTGCACTTCACTTTATTTTACTTATAAGTTTCCTTTTTCATTCAACCCTCATATCACAGCTTCACCATATCAGGTTTCTTCTAGCCTTTGACCGAAACTCTTTCTTTGTGATGCACCACGAGTCTGGAAAACTGCTCAACTGCACCCCCAAACAAAAAATATATAGATATGATAACTCCCACCGAACAAAAATCGTGCTTCAGTGTCTATTAGTATTATAACCACTTACGTTGCTGACGAGCTTTGCCCCGTACCATGCAGAGTCTGCACCATAAGGGGGTGGAATAACTCTTATTCCATTCGCTATGGATGGGGGCAGAAGATCACGTACTTCCTTCTCTAATCTTTCTGCATGTTGGTTGTTGGAAACAAATTAAACGAGATTAACAACAAATCCCTTCCTCGCTCACTTCAGTTTTAGTTTATATATATATATATATATACTAATAATAATATACCTGCTAGTCCTGGTAAGCATGCAGTTCCTCCAGCCAACACAATGGTCTTGAACCAACTTTCATCAGCACTCAATTCAGCACCATGACAATGGTCCACACAAAGCCCCACTGCCTGATGCAAACCCATTGCACGCCTGCAGTACCACAAACCATACAAAATAACTTCACAAAAACCAAAACTAATAACAAGAGATAAATCTCACACCTACGTACATTCCTGCAATACGTGGCTGGAATAGAATCTCTCCTGTTTGAAACCGCTCTCGCTTAAGAGTAAACCAACCCACAGCTGCCACTTCATATGATGCTTCTGTATCCTTCCCTAATTCCGCTTCATAGTCAAGAGCAACATAACAGAGATTCTGCACGCATGTCAATTAACCACACGGCATTAGTTTAGCATATATAAGAAGAAAAAAAATATCTGGCTAAATAATCATGCACACGCACATTTAAGTTACTGATGACGACCCTTGTGCAAACGTAATAAGCATCCATACATGTCCACAACCCCAAAGATGCATTATTAAGTGAAAGATACTATATTGCGGAATATATCTAACGACAAGCAGCCACGGGTTTGCTATTTTGTTCATCAAAAACTCTGCAAGTATAAAAATCAGTCTGCCAAATGGAATTAATACCTCTTTCAGTGACCGCACTGTGTATAATGAATCAAAATGTAGATTTCTCTGCTGCATTTGCTCCCTAAGGTATCCAGTAAGTTTTAAAGCTCCAACTCCCACAGCTTCCACACCCACTTTTCGCATTATCTTACCATGTAAAACTGGAAATACAACACAGAAAATATATTTCATGTTATAAGTGACTTCAAACTTAATGTAGCCATGAAAAATATCAATTGTATTTGGTCAAACATGACACATGATTTAGTGCCAAGGATATAGAGGTTGCAACATGAATCTGCTCTTAACTCTGACAGTATGAAGATGAAAAGGTGAATGGTATGGCATACTTGGAACGACAGATGTTTGATGAAAACCAATATTGACGACAATTCCCGAAGTTCTTTGTGCTGCAAACAAGGCTAAAGTTGCCTGTACATGGTTGAAAAATGCAACATTAGTAAGGCCCTGTTTGTTTTTACCTAAAAAACACTTAATACCCTCTTATGTCTGAATCGGTCAGACCTTAGGGTATTAAGTGTGTTTGTTTTTTTTTCAATTAAGAGCTTAAAAGCTCTGATTATGTCTGAATTATTTAGAGGTAACATTTTCACTTAAAACCTCTTAATTGCTTTTAGAGCTTCCAATGCTTGCAAAGAAAGCCTAGATTTCAATCATTCAGATTACAGATTTCAGACGTAAAAACAAACAGTCTAACTGATTCAGATTTCAGACTTCAGCACCAGCTCTTAAAATTCAGAAGTAAATTCAGACTTCAGACTTAAGCACCTCTTAAAAAACAAACGCCACCTAAGAGTAAGGAACAAAATAGAGATTATTTTAAATATGATGTTCATACCACTTCTATTTTAGTGGATTTTGGTTATTAACAACATATATTCTTGAGATGGAAAAAGGAGCAGTTCTTCATGACTAAACAGGAATCAAAACAGATACTTTCTCATACTAAGTAATAGATGATCTTCACTATAACAGGAATCACAGACGTCCCAAAACAAAGTCAAGTTAACCCAAACCATGATTCAGCATACCCACTAGTAATCTTAAGCCTGTTCCTAGCCTAGGCTCGGTCACAGTTACAACTTATCTCTCTACTTAAATATGGCCTGAGTTGCGTCAGGTGGTCCCAACCGGTCCTGGACGGTCCTTTTTCTTAATAATTTTTTTAGTTTTTTATGGATCATGATTCTTCAATTAATCCTCAGTGCACACTAAAGAGCACATCAGAGTACTGTCTCTTGAAATCAAAGAGTGAATAGCCTTAAACTGATTAATCAAACCTGGCTGACTGCACAAACAGAAGGAACATTCATGCCAAATAGAGCTGAGTATATGGCTTCTTTGAGTTGTCGTCTAGCAGCTTTGGCAGCTTCAGTATCTGAAACAAATTCAGAGAAGAGAGAGATGGTATTATATAAGCTAATATAACTCATAAATATTGAAAGAAATGTTGCAGAGAAAGTGAGTCAATCCAATAGAAACAGACTCTTAACATATAGACATACATGTGAACTTTTTTTTTACAGATACTGAGATACTGGTCTTTCTTGCTGTTAGGGTACAACGATCCTCATATATTGGATTTGGCCAGGTTGTGATACAAATATTTATACTTCTTTCTTTTCTTCCTTGGTGGAAAAGAACCTTAATTTGATTCATGATAATAAAAACATCATATGTGAATATAGAACAAAGAAAAGGGAGCATCTTATGCCAATTTCACCATAATCTGCCAAAGGAAACCAACTGTTGAAACCCCTAGATGAATATCATAAATTGCGTGCAGGTATATATTTCCTTCAATAAGTTCATTGTTTGTGTGACATTGTTAGAAGCATACCATCGTATTGGCAGATTGGAATTGAGACAACAATTGGCTGTGTGGATGATTTCACTAGCATCCTGCATATGATTCAACTTGTATGATCAAGAAAAATCACAGACCCAAATGAAGAGGGAGAAATTAAGATGTCAAGTGCTTTCCGAGATGTGTAGCAAATGTAATCAATAATGGTCAATACCTGTTATAAATTGTTGCAAAAAAATGACGAAGCCTTGAGTACATTGGAGACTCGATATTACCAAATTCCTACACGTGAAGCCAATCACTTAGAGGATATAAAAAATAAAGTCAGTCTTCGAAGCGCAACAATAAATCCAAAGCTACGAAATCAAGTTCTAGTGCAACGTCTCGAGTTTTAGACACGCCGACTAAAGCAGTCACTTACCAAGAACGTTGCTGAGCGCCCAGATGGAGAATCAAACTTGCTCCAACCAAATTTACAATAGCCAGAACCACCTTTAGTAAGAATGAGAACAGAAAATATTCAGCTTAGAACAAACTCCAAGGCAACAAAATCAATTTACATAATTGTAAAGACACATCATTAGGTTAATTGAGTATTAAACACATAGTCATCATAGATGGAGAGATTTTAACCCCTGATGGAAAACAACATAGAACCACTTGCATGAGCATAGTAAGAACAATATCACCTACTTCCATATTTAGACACAATCAACCATAACATAAAGCCTAGAGAGAGAATCTGGTTTGGCATGTAAGTACTTAATATTTAGATACACACCGTCAATGATTATAGCTCCAGGCACCTTTGCTCGCTGGCCATAGATATGCATGAATGATTGCATCTGACATGGATATGTTCTACAATCATAAATTAAGATTGTCAGGCTCAATGGCTGTAACTAAATGATGGTACCGATCAGTACAAATGAAATAATATGCTGAATCAACAGTTTTCTCTTCAAATTTCATTGCATCACCTCTCATACTTGTTCTTAATAATCAAAGAATGACCCAAGAAGTCAAATTTTTACAGCGAGAAATGAAAAGATGGAATTCAAGAATCTGAAGGCGATACCTAATTATGTCTAAGGAATGGGGTATTACTCGCTCAAACCTGATCATATGCTGCTGTTAATCTTGATACTACTTTATTCTCTCCGCCCGAAAATAGGTATTATGCTTCTGGTTTTCAAAAATGAAGTAACAGTACAGATTATACTCCTAAAGCCAATTAATACACCAAAGGGGTGGAATTCGGGTTGTGATCAGTTCATCAGCACATATGGACAAAAAAAATTAGTCTAATGCATCATCTGATCATCATATACACTATATGCCGTATAGCACAACTCTAATGACATACTTTTTGCACCAATATTAGTAGTGAAACTATATTGAATAGGCAAACTAAAGAAAAGCCGTATGGATAATCGTCTTACGGTATTGCATATAATCACCTAGAAGTGCAAAATCCCTGGATATCACGTCGGTAAGGAATTTCGCATGGAATTAATTCGAGAAAGTTACAAGAGACTGAAAATTCAACCAAAAGAATGCAACTGTAGTCATAATATGTAAGGAACGTACCGAAGAGGATAACCAGATCGCAAATTAACTTCTGAGAAGAAAATAGAGTCCCAGGGAACATGCTGATTCTGGAGATAGTACACCCATAACCTATTATCAGATACGATAAGTTTCCATGATTTGCAAACTGCGGTGAGCATAGCAACCTCATGTGGTCGGAGCAACTTGAGGATTTGCATAAAGACATCGATAGGTATCCGATCAAATTCCCCAGTGGAGGAAGAGGAAGAAGTCGTCATAATCTGATCGGAATTGGATAGGGATACGTGAGGATGAATTGAACCTGTGTAACTCAAATTAGAGGAGGAGCTATGTCTACTCGAATTGGAGGAACGAGTGGAGACGGATTCCCAAACTTTCTTGAACAAATTGGACATGATTCACGAAGCAGTTGTTGACATTTGCAATGAAGATGAGATTTTAGGGTTCGTTGAGAGTGGTGATCATCTTGCGGGTGGGGGTGAGGTGGGTGCAAAACGGCCATTTGATTTCATCGATGTGGGTCCCACTGTCGGACACCTGTAGTTCTTAACTACCTCCATTTACGACAACCACATAACTGATTTCACTTTTACCCCTTATAATTTCATCAACTTACACTTATACCCCTTGTACTTTGCAATATAACGTGAAAACACCACCCGTATCCATCTACATCCAATCATCTTGAAATATCCATTTATTTTATTATAAATTTATAATCATATTTATTTAGTAAGTAATCAACATAAAGTTTCAATTTTTAATCAAATAATGTGTTGTTATAGTTGACCTTTGAACAGGATGGATCCAGATTTTTTTTAAACGGTGGCACCATTTGTTCATAAGAAAAAAATATAGGAAGTTTTTTTTCAAACGGTGGCACCGTTTAACTAAGAAAATGACACTAACATAATTCGGATTTGGGTGTGGGGTAGAATAAAAACCTTGAAAACCAACTCAACCAAATAAAACTTGTTTTCATTGTAGTTTCAAACTACATACGGTGACACACAACAAATTAATACGGTTGCACCGTTCACGAAACCTAAATTTTTTACCCTTCGACGGAGAAACAATACGGTGGCACGTGCCACCCATGGCACCTATGTAGGTCCGCCTATGTTTTGAACAAATCAACGTATTGGATTATATATATATATATATATATATATATGGTGTGAGTGTGACTGGGTTTTTTAATAGATGAAAATATATAGGATTGATCAAATACAACCCTTCTTATCCTTACAGACTTTATCTAAAATCATTTATTTTTTTTGGTTTTTTAATTAAGGATAGTTTTCAAATCAAATGATAACAGTTAATAAAAACTAGAACAATATTCGCATAAAACAGCGAGATACATCTTTACTTTAATGTTTCGTTTTATTTTTTTGTCTCTATTGATATAATACAGTTTATATAATTTTAATAAATATAATGTTTTTATTTTTGAATAAAAATATATTTGAAGATATAAAAATTTGAAAAAAATATATCGATATTAACATCAAATTAATTATTTAAAAGTTCTTATTTT